ACCGTAATAATGTATATAGAGCAGCACCGTTATAATGTATATAGAGCAGTACCGTAATAATGTATATGGAGCAGCAACGTAATAATGTACATGGTGCAGCATCGTAATAATGTTTATGGAGCAGTACCGTAATAATGTACATGGAACAAAATCGTAATTATGTTCATGGAGCAGTACCGTAATAATGTTTATGGAGCAGCAGCGTAATAATGTACATGGAGTAGCACTGTAAAAATGTACATGGAGCAGCACCGTAATAATGTACATGGAGCAGCACCATAATTATGTATATGGAGCAGCACTGTACTGATGTACATGGAGTAGCACTGTAATAATGTACATGGAGTAGCACTGTAATAATGTACATGGAGTAGCACCGTAATAATGTACATGGAGCAGCACCGTAATAATGTACATGGAGCAGCACCGTAATAATGTACATGGAGCAGTACTGTAATAATGTACATGGAGCAGCAACGTAATAATGTATATGGAGCAGTACTGTAATAATGTACATGGAGCAGCACCGTAATAATGTACATGGAGCAGCACCGTAATAATGTACATGGAGCAGCAACGTAATAATGTACATGAAGCAGCACCGTAATAATGTACATGGAGCAGCAACGTAATAATGTACATGGTGCAGCACCGTAATAATGTATATAGAGCAGTACTGTAATAATGTACATGGAGCAGCACCGTAATAATGTACATGGAGCAGCACCGTAATAATGTACATGGAGCAGCACCATAATAATGTACATGGAGCAGCACTGTAATTATGTACATGGAGCAGCAACGTAATAATGTACATGGAGCAGCACCGTAATAATGTACATGGAACAGCACCGTAATAATGTACATGGAGCAGCACCGTAATAATGTACATGGAGCAGCAACGTAATAATGTACATTGAGCAGCACCGTAATTATGTATATAGAGCAGCACTGTAATAATGTACATGGAGCAGCACCGTAATTATGTATATAGAGCAGCACCGTAATAATGTACATGGAGCAGCAACATAATGATGTACATGGAGCAGTACCGTAATAATGTATATAGAGCAGCACCGTTATAATGTATATGGAGCAGCACCGTAATAATGTACATAGGCAGCACCGTAATAATGTATATAGAGCAGCACCGTTATAATGTATATGGAGCAGCACCGTTATAATGTATATAGAGCAGCACAGTTATAATGTATATAGAGCAGCACAGTTATAATGTATATGGAGCAGCACCGTTATAATATATATAGAGCAGCACCGTTATAATGTATATGGAGCAGCACCGTTATAATGTATATAGAGCAGCACCGTTATAATGTATATGGAGCAGCACGGTTATAATGTATATAGAGCAGCACCGTTATAATGTATATGGAGCAGCACCGTTATAATGTATATGGAGCAGGGCCTAGATTTTCGAAACGATCTTAGCCCTAAGATTGTCGTAAAGTTATCGTAAGGAAATCGTAGGCTATCGTAGCCTATTTTCGAAACTATCGTAGCCCTAAGATATCTTAAGTTTGTCGTAAATCTAAGATAGCCCTATACCTGTCGTAAGTTTATTTTATCTTCATCCAAGATGGCGGCATACTTTTCCATAGATATTTTGCCAAACAATTAGTCCGCTTAACGTTCAAACATTGACATTTCATTTTGTAAAACTGAGTGATTCAAATTCACACTTCGAAAACACGAAGAACGCATCAAGGATTTCACGTCAAAAATGTTCTTTATCGCGACAGCGATACACATAACTGTGGAGTCGATAGCTTACATTATTTTTCTATCCGAGTCCATGCTGAAGAAGTGTGAAACAACATACCTTTTCGTTAATTTGGGAAGGATAAAAACGGAAGGTGTCGGCAGGCTACAGTAATGACCGTGACCTTATTGATAGTTTAGGGGGAGCTAATCTTAGTTCAAACTCTAGTGGAGAGTGGTTTCCCTTTGTATTCGCTCGGGACACCTTGCTCAATGGTACAGTTTTCATAAAGCGCAGAGTTCCGCTGTTATATTTTCTGAGTCGCATTTGTGTCAATGCTTTAGTCTTTATTTTCAAAATGTAGCATAGATTGCACATTGTCCAAAATTCACATTCAAATATATGTTCGCAGAAAAAAAGCTTATTGAATGAAATTTACTGATCAACATAAAATACACATTTTCAACACAATAATCTTTGCATTCAATAAACCGGTTTTAAAATATTTTGGTCTTTTTAATATGTAAGTCTACATCTTCCCGTTTTATGTTTAAAAAATATAAAGATATCCTTGAGACCATTCAGACAATAAAATCGTTGTAACGTATAGGGTCAACGGACAAATACTAGTAAATGATCCTCAACAATTCTGTCAGACAAGCCAAACATCATTGAACTACGTTCTGGAATAGATTTGACACATTACAAAGTATTTCGCTCCTCAGCCAGATTTAAATGAAATCAGACAAATCAGTTTATTAGCTCTACTTAATTTAAAAGGATAGAAAATGACTACATTATATGTATGTTCACGTTAACTTGTGGCGTGTTCCATGAGAAAACATAACTTGACATTACTAAATTATCTCTCTTTGCGAACGAAAATTAGTGTCACTTTTAAATTTTGAAAATAATTATGGATCTAGAAAGATAAAAAAATAATTTCATCATCTAAATACTAATAGCTTGATATTGTATTTAAGTCCTTGGTTTATTCGTGAAATATATTGGATACATAAGTAACAAAACAAACTTAACAAGCTTAGATTATCATATAAACTTGCTTGTGGGTGCGCTGCTTCCTGAACAATTTTTGTTTTGAGTGTTTCCACTTATAATGTTGGTGTTTACACTAATATAAACTTGACTTTTGACATAAACATAAAAATAAACAGTATACATCACTTAACATCAGACTTGAACACGCATGTTAAATGCTGAACGCATATGCAGCTGGGAAATCCCCGTGACGCTCTGGGAAACACCCCGCTTTTTCAATCTCTAACACAAATGAGTTCTCTGTCAGAGTTACGACAGGTATCGTAACTCTGAACGATCTGCGACAGGTTTACAATAGTTTCGAAAATCTATCTTATCTTAGCCTTAAGATATCTTATCTTTGAACGTAAGTTGTTAAGATTTATCTTAGCTAAGATCGTTTCGAAAATCTAGGCCCAGCACCGTAATAATTTACATGGAGCAGTACCATAATGTACATGGAACAACATCGTAATAGTGTACATGGTGCAGCACCGTGATAATGTACATTGTGCAGCACCGTAATAATGTACATGGTGCAGCACCGTGATAATGTACATGGAGCAGCACCGTAATAATGTACATGGAGCAGCACCGTAATAATGTATATGGAGCAGCAACCTAATAATGTACATGGAGCAGCAACGTAATAATGTATATGGAGCAGCACTGTAATAATGTACATGGAGCAGCAACGTAATTATGTACATGGAGCAGCAACGTAATAATGTACATGAAGCAGCACCGTAAAAAGGTACATGGAGCAGCAACGTAATAATGTAAATGGCGCAGCACCGTAATAATGTATATAGAGCAGTACTGTAATAATGTACATGGAGCAGCACCGTAATAATGTACATGGAGCAGCACCGTAATAATGTACATGGAGCAGCACCATAATAATGTACATGGAGCAGCACCGTAATTATGTACATGGAGCAGCAACGTAATAATGTACATGGAGCAGCACCGTTATAATGTTTATGGAGCAGCACCGTTATAATGTATATGGAGCAGCACTGTAATAATGTATATAGAGCAGTACTCTAATAATGTACATGGAGCAGCACCGTAATAATGTACATGGAGCAGCACCGTAATAATGTACATGGAGCAGCACCGTAATAATGTACATTGAGCAGCACCGTAATTATGTATATAGAGCAGCACTGTAATAATGTACATGGAGCAGCACCGTAATTATGTATATAGAGCAGCATCGTAATAATGTACATGGAGCAGCAACGTTATAATGTACATGGTGCAGCACCGTAATAATGTATATAGAGCAGCACCGTTATAATGTACATGGAGCAGCACCGTAATAATGTATATAGAGCAGCACCGTTATAATGTACATGGAGCAGCACCGTAATAATGTACATGGAGCAGCAACGTTATAATGTACATGGTGCAGCACTGTAATAATGTACATAGAGCAGCACCGTAATACACCACTAGTTTTGGATCTTTTTTACGTTTTGACAGGATATCGCGTGTTTTCTAGGTAGAGTTGTTTAAAATGTATATTGTTGACAATAGACCTTTATTGATTTTAGTATCACATTTCATTTGAACTTTGATTTACCGATGGGCGGTTGGGTAGCCTTGTTTTTAAAGCCTAAGTTCCGGGTTCGAATCCCCACATGGTAACAATGTGTAAAGCCCATTTCTGGTGTCCGCCGTCGTGATATTTCTTGAATAATGCTAAAAGCTACTTAAAAACATACTCACTAAATGCATTACGCATTGAGCAGAATATCAATGTTAGGCCACCCCGTGGGGATTCCGTCTCGGCAATCTATGCTTGTACCAGGCTGCTTCAGGCTGTATCAAAATATATGTTTCTCACCCGGCACACATTGAAATCGTTATTACAATGCCAGTGTCGTGTGTGTTTATTGCATGGATAACAGAATCTGCTTCATCAACAAGGGTACCATTTTTTAATGTGCCCAAGAAACATATCCTTTTTAAAGCTTATTGAATCGGGTGGTCAGGATCGGTGACTTGCTTCATTGCGTGTCACTATCCTCCGAGAGTTTGGAACGCTGCTCATAATATCAATCACTGGTTTGTATTGTCCAGCCTCGATTATTTACAGGTCAAATTGTTGTAATATTATTGAGTTCGGCTTATACCAAAAACAAAATAAACAAGTCAATATAGCCGGTAGGACAGGTCACCGTCAATGTACCGAGTGCGTATAATCTACAGGAAGTAAAAACACCGTCTCGATATATGGAGTTCTTTTGACGAGGTTTCAAGCCACGTCATTATAAACAGCTATTGGCTAACGTCAGGTGAAAAGGCGCTAAGGGAAGTCCCAATGAATCAATAACACTCATGGGCGCGGCAGAGATCGTTAATCTACTCCTGAGGCCTGTCCCTTAGTATAACGGCTCGGATCTCACTGATCCAAAGGTGTGGTGTGGGACATAATGCGGGTGTGAACGTCAAGGTAAGTCTTCTCAATGTTCGTGGACAGCCACAATAATGCTAGACGGTTGATGACCTACATACCGATGGGTTGTAAGGGTGGAGGCGATAGAGTCGTGAAAGTTAAAAATTGACTTTACCTATGAAAATCCGTATTCAGAGGTACAGTATATCATGGCAGTATAGGAGGCATATCTGACTTTCGACAAATCGTTTCGTTTTCATACATTAGGGTCAAAGTTCTGACAAAACTTACAGAAATTAATATTTGATAGGTTATGCATAATGCCCTACCACCACCCCTACACACACCCAAACCACACCCACCCCCCACCCGTCCTACCCTGCAGTGACATAAACTACAAAGTTCCTTGGGGATATCAAACGCCCATTGCTTAAATGACTCATGTGGCATATCTAATGGCTCTTGTAATAAGAATAAAACGTTATACCGTGAATGGAGATCAGCATGTAATACAGTAACGAGTGGAATGTGCAACAGATCAATGCACATACAAAAAGGATAATAGCAGTTACGTCTTTTCATGTTTCGGGGCGGAGAACAATGTCACTTTGACATGTTCCTATGCAACCCAGGGACATACAATAGCGACTGATAACACACAGACAGGCTATAGAGAATTTGAAGTTCAGTGCAGAGTATTTAAACATCCTTTGTGTTGTTGAAATCATGCAGTATGTTTCCAGTCGGTCACGTACCCATCGTCCTCGACTTTATATGAGATTAGGTACATGTATATTTCCTAAACTTCTGAAAAAGCTATATATATATAGGTTTTTAGTCATTCACCATGGCTACATGACGTGTAATCAAAAATAGAAATGAACTAGAATTGATAACAACCTTTGTGTTGAAATCATGCAGTATGTTTCCAGTCGGTCACGTATCCATCGCCCCGACTATATATATGAGATTATATATATTTCCTAAACTTCTGAAAACAGTAATATATTTGGTTTTAGTCATTCACCATGGCCACATGATGTGTATTCAAAATTAGAAATGAACTAGAGATATTTTTAATTCACACACATGCATCAAACAGTGCTGCGTAAGGCTTACATGGATTAATATCGACCGTTGCTTTTACGATCTCATATCAAATCGCAATACAAAGCAGACAATCTATAAATAGAGCAACTTTAAATACTTCGAAGCTTTTGATAGGCATTTAAATGTTGGGAGAATATGAATACATACTTTTTACGAGAAGCAACTTATTTTATTCTTTGTACGATGTTTCAGAGTTTCTTCATGCTTCTTCATCGGGTGAATGTTGACGAAGGAGCAAGAAGTAGCTCTGAAACTTCGTAGAAAGAATATAAGTTGTTATCCATACAAAAGTGTGGAGATATGCTACTATATTTATTGCGTCCTGTATGGAATGCGTGGTATAATTGGCCCCCAGTAAGTTATGCGTGTCAACAAAAATGGATTGGGGATCAGTCTTGGTGGCTTTGCTGATTTCGTGACATCGTATCTGATGGTGAGACTCACTGGTCCTGCTTTCAGTCACTGGGTTGTCTGGCCCAATCTCGATTGTTTACAGGCCGCCGTCATATAGCTGGAATATTGCTCAGCATATTGCTCACTGTGTTAAGCAACACTCATTAACTCGACGTATGATACAAATATATGCCTTGTTCTCTGCTCATTAACATAACGATATATTGGGAAAGCATATTTCTGATGTTCCCCGTAAGTTTCTGACTAATCCACAGTAATTGTTGTCAATGTACACGATCGTTATGATGCATTATGTGTGCAAATTATAACACTTTAACATATCCATTTTCACATTGTCGTTTTATGTTGACATTATGTATTCATGAACTATAAGGCACATACCACTTGCTGTTATGAATCGAAAGTGTTACATATACACTGATATTTTGAGTTTAGAATTGTTCATGTAAACCAACGATATTGTCTGGAGTTCTATCGTATTAACTGATATGTTTATGGCCATATTTATCGTCAGAATAATGTTTATTACATTTACATTTTGCTACTTACTATGCTTTGCTTTTTGCCATCAATATCAGTTTCAATGATATTCCAGATGTAATTCGACGCTGAATGACTAGTGTGGTCTGAATCGTTCTACTGTCGGAATAGAGAGGACTGATAGTAGCCAAGACGACCAGACAGCATGACGACAAGGACAGAGAACAGAGTGGCGTCAAGGAGAGAGGATGGAATGACTTCGAGAAGGCCGGACAATATGACGTCAAGGGGAGAGGACAGAATGACTTCGATACGGCCGGACAATATGACGTCAAGGGGAGAGGACAGAATGACTTCGAGAAGGCCGGACAATATGACGTCAAGGGGAGAGGATGGAATGACTTCGAGACGGCCGGACAATATGACGTCAAGGGGAAAGGACAGAATGACTTCGAGACGGCCGGACAATGTGACGTCAAGGGGAGAGGACAGAATGACTTCGATACCGCCGGACAATGTGACGTCAAGGGGAGAGGACAGAATGACTTCGATACGGCCGGACAATATGACGTCAAGGGGAGAGGACAGAATGACTTCGATACGGCCGGACAATATGACGTCAAGGGGAGAGGACAGAATTATGTCAAGCAGAGAAGACAGAATATCGTCGAGAGGAACAAACACCATGACGTCAATCGTAGAGGACATAAAGACGTCGAATCAAGCATTGTTTTTACGTAGAGGAGACAATACATCATTGAACAGCGGGAACAAGACATTGAGTTTCAAGGACAGGAGCACATCAAGTGGCCAGGACAGGATGTCGTCGAGCAGAGGGGTATTTCATACAAGTGGGAATGACAGACGAGGCATGTCGAGTGGTCTACAAACTACAACACATGTACAAGTTGATACTGCCGAGACTCATGCTGAGGTACAAAAGATACAACTCTTCTTGATAACAATGCTGCATTAAAATGAGCAAATTTTGGCCTACCCTAGAATTCAGTACCACAAATCTTTCAGGTACATGTACGTCACTATGCCATTTCATTTTATTAACGTAATTAAGTTACCAGATAGTCTTAGCATTAGCTGACGTCAGCCTAGCATCAGGGTTGCTTGGACAATTTTGGCTGCAAGAAATCTTCATCCAAATCACTTTCACTTGCTACATTTGTTCAGTAATGATTCAAAAGCCGACTTGCCTTCGTGGGGTCAGTAGTCTGTCTGAACGATTCTCGTTCCTTACAATGATCTACATTATCCTAGGAATGTTTCCTCACAAACTTGTGTGTCACAAAATCACTCAAAACGTTTTTAAAAATTCATTCATGTGCATTCGGTAATTCAACGCCTGTAGCCGTTTTCATTTACCGATATTTCGGCTCATCCTTAAGTACCATTCGACCCGTTCCGTTATTTTCCGTAACTTCTTTGGCATGACTAGGTACGTTTTCTATTAGTTTAACAGTGTTGGCGTAGCTCAGCCGTTGGCCTGACACTCAGATGGTCGTGATGTCGCGTCGAAGGACCCGCACAAAAAAACTGGATGCTTGTCTAAGTGACATGTGGCGTACGGCAGAGATCGTCCTCACGCAGAGTTGTACTGTATTCTGAATGTACTCCTTAAAAGGTGCAAAACTGACCTTGGAAACTTTCTCGTATTTTTGCAGGAAGAGCCTTTTCAGAAGATGAAGACGACATTCAATCTCCTGAAGAGTGTTTTAGCCGAAAGTTTGGCTGAAACTGATAAAAGGCCTAGCAAGCGATATCCCCTAAAATCAGTGCAAGTACGGATTATACCATACAAATGCCACATCTAGGTTAATGTCACCGTGAGGGAGATGAGGTAGGCTCGCCACGCCGGGTTCGATTACACTCATTGGCACAATGTCTGAAGCCCATTCCTGGTGTACACCGTCGTGATACAGTTGGAATATTGCTAAAAGCGGCGCAAAACCATATTCATGCACTCACTAATGTTGTCGTGTTGGCTCAGGTGGTCCTGTCGTCTAAGTCGTTAAGCACAGATCGTGGCCTTGAGCCCAGTTTCGCCCAGATTATCATCACTGGTCACCTCTAGTTCCTCAAACATCTTGTTCAACGTGGCCTTAAACTCAATCACTCGCTTATTCATCCATGTCCTCGCCCACAGCATAAGAATCAGTTTCTTTCTTTCAAGAATGTAAGTAGTAACGCCGAACAAGATGACACGTTTTGATCAGACCCGTTGGACTTGACGAAGTTCGACGTACCAGACGACTGAATTGTCGGCACGGTCACTTGGTAAATTGCGTTTGACGTGGAACGTTGTCTGTGATACATATCACTGAATCGTCTGGTCCAGATTCCATATATGTATAAGACGTTGTCATATGGCTGGAATATTGCTGAATTTTGGCGTTATTAAACCCTTCCTCCCCTACACACACAATGTTTTTTGTATTTTATTTACAATATGCTGAGGATGTGGACATGGTACTATGATTACAGGAAAACAAAGAAATACAGAGGCTAGTCGCCAAGGTCGATCAACTGATGCAAATGATGAGGGAAATGTCAGAGCAATCAGACCGAAAACGCGTAGAACTGGAGAGAGAAAATGCCATTCTACAGAACAAGTTGGTTGAAGCCCATGATTCTGAAGCAACAGCTAAAGGGAACTGTGATTTTCTGGAGCAACGTGTAACATATCTGACAGGGAAATTGGAAGCCTACGAAACGAAGGAATTTGAGCACAAGCTAACTCAGACAACACAGGACAACAACGAAATACACACACTTCTTCGAAGGAGTGTGTCCCATGATGACCTTGATGAGGTAGGTGATTGGAGAAAGAGTAGAAAAGTAGTCACCTTTGGAATAGATCTGTGAGCTCATTTCCGATTAAAGTGTCATGGTAATAAGACTTAACTCTCAGGGGTTTAACTGCAGTTTGTAACACATCATCGTGTAGGTTTGTGGAGTAATTTTCAAAACCAGTTTACCTGCAGGCGATGAAAATATTTCCTCATGGGATAACACTTTTTGTTCACAGAACGGTGTTCATGATCAGTCCTTCGGCAGACATTCCATCAATAGGTGGAGATCAACAACCACAGTTGATACCCGAGACACAGGTTTCAGTGAGACTATTATTGTAAGATTTTCAATAATATTTATGATGCTCATTAACATGTCATTATTATTTCTGTTGAATTCTTTCCCTAGTACTATGTCATTCCCTCCCTATTCTGTCGCATTCACAATAATCTTCGCCTAAAATCCGAATCTGAGGAGGTTTGTATATTTCTACTATTTCATGCCACGTAATTGGTTCCCGTGGAATTCCACAGCAAGTTATGCTTGTTGTATGAGGCGAAAAACTAAATCGAGTGGTATTTACAGGTTGTTCTCATACTGAAATACTGAGAGCTGAACAAAAAAGGAACAAACAAAAAACATTCTCATTTTTAAATAACAAAACAAACATACGAGGGAAGCTATATCAAACATCACGACATTTTATGATCAGAATGTTGCAGCACTTTGTCACTTACCTTCCTAGTTTCTGTTCCTTTTAGTTTTTTAACTTCTTACGTTTTATGGGTTTATTAACAGAACTGACCCTTCTGGAAGTTTAGATTCAAGTTTAATTAGTTTTTAAAACCTTTCAGGAAACAATTCACAAGGATGTCGAGGAAATACGGAAAAATATTGAACAATTATTTGAAGCTGCTTCCACCTGCCCTACACCAACAACCACGTTTCCACCACTTCCGCCTCTAATTAGAGGTTTTTGTGTCAACATCCAGGACGCAGTCAGTGAGTATATCTAGCCAATGTTATCTTAACAATGGTTGGCTGTGCCATACACCTGTCGAACACCTGGAGTCATCACTGATGTTCAGTGATCCCTTCATATAGTTTTAATCGCTATTTTGCCTTTTACGCTCTTTGGAATCTGTTTGGGCGTATAATCGAGACAAAATGCCTTAGTGAAGCTAGGAAGTGTGCTTGTTTTCAATATTTGAAACGGTAATTGGATATTTTGATAACATGTTGAAGTTTAAGTCAGCATAATTTGGTCAGTATCGGTATTAGGGATAACTTTTACTGTGGATGAGACAATAATGTATGTGTACAGTACACACTGACTGTGCAAATGATGGGTATTATAACTGTGAAGTATATGTAATTTTTTTTACTTTTGAGTTCCAATAACAATAGTCCCCAGCAAACCATGAGAGTTGTACAAGGTGACTGAATGGATGAGGTGGTCAGACTCGGTAACTTCATTGTGTATCATCATATACCGACGGCGTCGAACGGCGTTTGAAACAAAATGTGGAATCCATTTCAGATATGTTCATGTGGGAAGAGATAGAAAATGAGATACTAGTAGTTCATTGTTCCTTCAGGTTCAGAGAAAAGTCGGATGAATAAGTTCTCAAGATGTATTGGAGTGAACCAGTCCAGACTTTGTCAATTAAAGGATGAACATGACTACAAACAGGACCTGCCAAGTGTGTACTGGGCCGTCATCTACGAGTGGAACAGCATCAATAATACCGAGGCAAATCGTGCAACCATGTTGGACCAGCTCATACAGGCATGCGATGCGTGTTGGATAACTAATCCATTATCAGGTAAGTAGCAATAACCTTTTTAAGAGGACAAAATGTTTGGGAACAGAGTGGTTATTCTGGATTCGTTTCGAAATTCTGATTGAAAAAGTTATTGTTTTCGTATTCATTTGTACGTTTTAACTGGTGTCCTGAATTCAGAGAGGTTCCTCCAGAGTCACATTTGAGCACTACACCCTCTCTGTAACCATTTGTAGTGCGCCCGATGCCAACCAAAGATCGTCTGATCATTGAGAAAAATTACTCGTACCTGGTGGAGCACCTCATGGTGCGACCAGCTCTCGTCTACCTACGGGACTCTCAGAAGATCACTCCAAACATAGTCCAGTATGTGCAGGATCCCCAGCCAAACCCAGATCAAGTCCAGAGGTTTGTGGAAGTCCTACCCGTGTGTGGTGGCCAGGCTCTGGACATCTTCGTGGACGCTCTGCAGAAATCTGGACAACAACACATCGCAAATACTATTGTAGCGACCAACCCCGAAAGGTTCAGAAAGTCATGCGACTACTCATCACCTATGATGCAAGAAGACAAGAAAGTTTTATATCGATCTCAGAATATTGCTGGGCAAACGAAAAAGAAAAGCAGATTTAAATTAAACTTTAAACCATTCAGGATCTTCAAATCAAAGAAGTACAGTCTTGAAGCTACCAGTCCGCAATGACTGTAGACCGGACATGGATTGCGTAGAGAAGAACATGATAGAATATCGAGAGAATACGGAACGCACTTCATGCACATGAATTATATGTGTTTCCCTATTTATGTAAAGAATCACTGTTGGAATTAGTGTCTTATCTTGTGGATTGCATTTGGTCATTGCGAAGAAAGGGGTACCGAAAATGTTTGCACTTGTTTCATTGTTTCCCAACATTCTCTTGAAATGAATGAAGGGGTTTTTTCCTATATATTCCATGGCGTGTCTACCAGTAGGGCAGGACATACTTTCTTTTTTCGCAAGAACATGATGTCATAACGGATTTCAGTAATCCATTCGGTTAAATATCATTACTATTTTGCCTTTTACACCCAATGAAATCTGTTTTGAAGACTGGTCATTATATGGCTTTGACGTTTTATAATATAGATGTACATATTTTATATATAGATGTACATGTTATATATATATAGATGTACATGTTTAATATATAAAGATGTAATTAATAAAAACATACTTTCAGTATGTGGCAATCATTGCGGACACTTCCTTGTACAAAAATCATGAGCAAAAGTCTAAAGCATAGCGTTGAAAAAGCCTCAACCGTGAACGAAAAACATAATTCTTTTTGGCTCAAGTAGCCCGGAGTTTCAAAAGAGAAGACCTATGTTTTGGTGTGTGAAGTGTCCTAGCACTATGAACCACATGCTATTGAGATGGCACAGACCTTGCAAAGTACAATATAGTACTTTGTCCATGAAGTATATGGACACATCAGTTCATGCCTAGCATCCCTCTGCTTTTAGCAGGGATTTTTTTATGATTATGAAAAGGCTTTGAGATTAGGAGAAAGTGAGATTAACCTTCATTCGAGGTGGCTGTTATGAACAGTTTTGTAGTCGGGTTTTACTCTATTTATTATTACCTGGATCTGGGTATGCTGTTGATGTATTTAAATGAACAAACGTAATGACTTATACATGTGTACTTAGGGCTGTATATACTTAGATTTACATAGTTCCTTCATCTGGATACTTGCAAATTTGTTTATGCAGTATACTGTATTCTGTTGTATCAACAACATTCTCTCACTGCCGACAAGGGTATGATGGTTTTTGCATTGGCAGCTGGAACCTGACATTTTTCTTATAAACACATATCTTTGTGAAATTGTTTATGTAAACTCTGGTTCTGGTTATTCATACTGATTATTTATGACACTGATGTTCCCAAATATAGATGACTGAAAGGGCAAAAGGATACTCCTATAGGAAAATATATTTTAAAAAACACGTCAATCCAGTTCTGTGTTGTTTTTTCATGCATTCTCTTTTTGATTTTACAAATAAAATGTTATGTTGTGTTTAATTGTTTGTCACGATAAATGAGCAGTATATCACAGATTAAACATGTTCTTGGAATGTAACCCTGAATATCAGTTGTAAGATGTTCACTCTAGACTGTGGAAACCTTCCTGTATAAGGTACACATTCCAACACACTCCATGCGACACACTCTTTAGGAAAACCTTAACACCCTCTGTAGTTATGTGTGTGTTTCTCATGTTCCATCGCTCCTAAATTACCGTCATTGCTCTTTATGTATGTTCATCCATTCTCCCGCCTAAATATATTCAATCATCCACCTCTCAATAAAAAAAGAAATTAACGTTTCATGCAAATCCTCGGTTTATATTACTTTGGAAGTTTATAAGCTCTAATTTCCTCCGACATTTCCGCCGTTTAAGTTATCAGCAGTTGCATAGCAACCGACATACATATAAGGACAATTTATTCACAGTTTATTCACATATCTTAAAATGTCGTATTGCTGGAATATTGACCAGTGCAGGTTCAAACAACAAACAAGACATGAACACACAATGCCATCTTCGTGTATAACAAATAATTTATCAGTTGTATCTCAACCAAAGGCACCTGAAGTCTTTGAATAATGGCATTTAGAAGTGATACACATAAGGAAGAGAATTTATGAATGTCAACTTAATTTTGAGGAAATATTCACCTGATGAAGGAGTAAGCATATACTCTGAAACGTTGTGTTCCTCATAATAAAGAAGTAGACATCCATAAATTCTCTGCCTTAGGCACTTGTTCTTTTCTTTTCCTTTTTCTCCTGATCGAACACTGGCTCTGATGTTGCCGTGTAGATTAGAAACGAAATGTCGCATTCTCGCGTTCTCGCGATTTCGTGTTTTTGTGGCCTAATTTGACAAGTCGAGATTGCGAGGTTGCGTTTTTTTGCATCATGTCCAAATGTTGCATTCTCGTGTTGTTGACTTTTGACAAAAAGTGCTATGTACCAAAAATATGAGAATGCGAGATCGCGAGAACGCGAGAATTTGGCCAAATCTCGCGTTCTCGCAATCTCGCATTCTCGTGGTTTGGGCATATTTACCTCGTTTCCAAAGGTCGAGATCGCGAGAATGCGAGATCGCGAGAATGTCCCTTACAGTATTCCATATGTTTTGGTTTGTGAATTCTCACATTCTGATACGAAATATTACATTCGTTTATTCTTCCATGGAGTACCCGTTGGAAAGCTACATCATCTCCTAATGTTTACGTAGACATTACATTTGTATTAATTCATCATTACATTAATCATTCAGATCTACATCCAAATACGTTTACGCTCTATATTAAATAATTGAACTTACCGATCACCTGGGGTACGGGTGGCCAGGTTGTCTAAGGCGCCGCAATTCGCTTCTCAGAATTGCGTCCTTTGGGTACACAAATCCCGGTTTGACCCGATTATATTTTTAGGTTTGTCAGCACAATACCCGTGCTCGCAATAAACGTCTAAGACCTGCATCACTTCGAGCTTTACTCTCACGTGAAGCTGAAACGCCGTGCTTTAACTGGAATACTGTCCAAAACGGCGTTAAACCCAACTCACTCACTCACTGATACCGATCCCAGGCCAAGACGTTTGGAAGAAGATTGTTGCCCCCGCGAACAGCTAATGGCACCCAGTCGTGACATATGGAAGATCTTATAACAAACGTTATATGAATGTTGGGATGCCGTAACAGCAGGAAGAACATGCTCTTCCGTTCTGCGAAAACCATGAGTCGCCATTGTACTTGTATGCTATCTAGAGTGAGTGTGCTTGGTGTCACGCCGCTCGCATCCGGCAACACATCGGCCTGTGAAACAAACAATATACATAGCACAGTGTGCCAATGTTGGGTTGGAACCCAGGCCTTTACCAACCGGTCTACACCACCGCTCCACCCGCAGAATATACTTACAAAGATCAAAATCAGGAAGTTTGTGCAAATTTGTGGATTTATTTATTGACTTATGTCACAGTTTATGTACTTTACAATGCGTTTTAAGATATCCATGACAAACAGTATCTATATTTGAATGGAGGGGCGGTGAGGTAGCCTTGTTGTTAAAACGTTCGTTCGTCACGCCGAAGGCCCGGGTTCGATTCCCCACATGGGTACAATGTATGAAACTCATTTCCCCCGCTGTGATTTTCCTGCAATATTGCCAAATGCGGCGTTAAACCATACCCACTCACTCACTCACTATTTGAATTGAAAGGTTTTTTACACGTTCTCTATTTCAAAGAAAGCACTTATCTATTCAGTCAGGTGATCAGGAAACTATTCTTATCCCTTTATTACAATATGTAACAGCGGCGTTTGTTGAGGTCGACCCGTGAAGATCCGGGGTAGAATAGGTCTTCAGCAACCCATGCTTGCCGTAAAAGGCGACTATGCTTGTTGTAAGAGACGACTAACGGGATCGTGTGGTCAGGCTCGCTGACTTGGTTGATGCATGTCAACGATCCCAGTTGCGTGGATCGATGCTCATGTCAATCACCGGATTGTCTGGTCGACCCGTGAAGATCCGGGATAGAAGAGGTCGTCAGCAAACCACGCTTGCAGTAAAAGGAGCCTATGCTTGTCGTAAGAGGCGACTAACGGTATTGGGTGGTCAGGCTCGCTGACTTGCTTGATGCATGTCATCATGTCCCAATTGCGTGGATCGATGCTCATGATATCAATCACTGGATTGTCTGGTCCAGGCTCGATTATTTACAGACCGCCGTCATATAGCTGGAATATTGCTGAGTGCGGCGTAAAACAACCAACCAGCCAACCAACATTACTGAGGTCAATACATGTGGTTTATTAAGGTCCATGTATGTTGTAAATTGACTAATGAAGATACATGGCGACCGATGTTAGGACCTTAAGGCAATAGTCGACGTATAGCTACCTTTTCCATGATCAGGCAAGTCTAAGGGGTATTTTCCTGTATAATTGTAGGCTTAAATAATTCATGGTTTGTATAACGTCGTATATAACGTGGATATTGCAATGTAATCGGAAAAGAACGTTCCGTCATTGCCAGCTCACAGCTATGTTTAGCTTTCCGGTATAAGATGTCGGATGGTGTGTTGCGTTATCTGTCGTGCAGGTGTTCACTATCTACATCTGTGTGTTACGTGTTGTTGATGCGTCCGTCCTTGAAGAAAGCTGATAACATGAGAAAACACACAGTTGGTATCATGGCTCCATGGATCGCTTCCTTGGTCTAGTTGTAGAGCGTCAGCCCGGAGAGCGGAAGGCAGGTGTTCACTATCTACATCTGTGTGTGACGTGTTGTTGATGCGTCCGTCCTTGAAGAAAGCTGATAACATTGGAAAACACACAGTTGGTATCATGGCTCCATGGATCGCTTCCGTGGTCTAGTTGTAGAGCGTCAGCCCGGAGAGCGGAAGGCAGGTGTTCACT